TTCATGTTGGCAATCCCAGCGTGTCTTCGGAATCCTGTAACAGTCGTCATTTTTTGGCACGCCTGGATTGAATATTGAGGAATTGCGAGGAAGTCTCAGGCGGGAGCCTTTTCCCTATGGGGTCCGCACTTCATGTTGGCAGTCCGAACGGGTTATCGGAGTCTTGTGACAGTCGTCACTTTTCGGGTCCTCTGGTCTGAATATGGACCCTGGGGCTGAGGTGGAGCAGTTCGCGGCAGAGCTGAAGTTCGTGCTGCCTCCCGCCTGAGCGCGGCCGCGATTAACTCGGCGCCCACTGGGTTGTTCCAACGGCTTGCTCTGGCGCCCCAGCGGCTCGTGGGGTTGTCCCAACGGAAGTTGGCCCGATGGCTTCGCGATTTTGCCATCGGAGGAAGCGCCCCTGCCGAGCGCGGCGGCGAACGCGGCGAGGAACATCGGCATGCGCCCGTTGCCGGAAGGAAACGGAGGTGCATGAGGAGAGCAGGCGGCATGCAGATGAAAAGGGGGGGGAAGGAGGCGGTGTAGGAGGAGGAGGAGGAGGAAAAGGAGGAGGAGGAGGAGGAGGAGGAGGAGGAAAAGGAGGAGGAGGAGGAGGAGGAGGAGGAGGAGGAAAGGGGCGAAGAGGGAAAGGAGAAATTTAACAAGGAGGGCGAGCAGGAGGAGGGGGGGCGGACGACGAAAAAGACAAGAAGGATGCGGAGCAGGTGCAACAGAGGGCGAAACGGGGTGCTTTAGCCGGGGCGAGGAGGGAAGAGCGAATGGCGATTTAAATCTATTCACATGTGGGGTCCTACCGTCGGAGTAATTTGGAGTTCAAACTTTGAGAGTGTGTCTTATATCCCGGCTCATGCGTCACAGTTGCAGTCTTGTCGCCAGAGAAAGGGCAGCAAGGGAACAAGGTTGCTCCCTACGGGAGGAATGGATCTCTTCCTCCTCCTCATCCTCTTCCCTCCTTCCCTCCCTCCTTCCTTCCCTCTCCTCCTCCTGCTCCGTTCCTTATTCCCGATAATCAAGTCCCTGTCGCACCCCCATACGTGCCGTTATGGTGGGTCGGACGTTTTCGCCTAAGACTCTTTCGCCGTTTTTCATCCGGATGCTTGAACTTTGCAGCGGTTTCAAGGATGGATGGTGGCTGGTTTTCAAGATGCGGCTCTCGCTTTAGCACTACGCGAATTCGCTTTCAAAGTTGCAATATTTCCACGGATGGAGGGCGGCGCGTCGTCAAACTGCGGTTTTCGTTTAACGCTGCGCGCGTTCGTCTTGCAAACTCACGGATTAGGGCGGCGCGTTTTCGAAATGTTGTTCTCGCTTGGGCGCCGCGCACGTTCGTTGGAACATTTTGCACCAGTTTCAAGAATGGGGGGCGGCTCCTTTTCCAAATGTGGTTTTCGCCGGAGCCCCGTGCACAGTCGTTTTGGCATGTTGCAGCAGTTCCACGGGTACGTTCGTATGGTTAAGTCTAAGGAAACGCGTTCTCGCACGAATTCGGATTGTCAGGGTGCAACAGTCATGTTGATTTTCGGCGTTGAAATCCCAGGAATTGCGTTCTGACGCGAATTAGGATTATCAGGACGCAGCATTCAAGTTGATTCGCTGCGTTGAAGTCCCAGGAATTGTGATTGCGCGCGATTGAGGATTCTCCGACGGCTGTCTTTCGATGGGGCACTTCCCGCAATATCGTTGATGCGTCTTGGGTTTACAGTGGTCCTCCTTTTCCTCCTCCTCCTCCTCTCCCTCCCTCCCTCCCTCCTTCCCTCCCGCTCCCCCTCCCCTCCGCCGTGGCCTTCCCACTCCTCCTCCTCCTCCTCCTCCTCCTGCTCCTCCTTAGTTCTCTCCCAGAAGGATCCCCTTGCATGGCCCTGGCAATGGCTCGCGCACACCCCCAAGTCCTTATTCGTGCTGCCCCGCTCCGGATTGATCGGTGCTGCTCTTGCCTCCTCCTCAGGCTGATTAGTGCAGCTCCGATCTAGAGTGAAGCAGCACCACTCAGCCAACACTAACAGCCACCCCAGCGTGCTCAAACTGTACGTCTTGGTGTTGGTCAGGATTGAGTGCGTCCTTAGTTATGTTTCTCCCAAGAGTGGAGTCACGTCTCCGTGACCTTTTGGGCTAGGAGCGGCGCTGATTGATCGCAGTGTCATCCGTACTTTATATGTGCCGAATCATCGCGATAGCAGGCGGTGCTTCGACAGATCTAACTCGGGCCGCATCGAAGAACATCTTCATACAGTGCAGACTCTGATCGAACCTGTGTGGCTTTGCGGTGCTCCTGTTCTGGTACACCGCTTGAGGCGGCGAAGAGCTTGAGAGATCCATCCAACAAAAAGGCTTCTGTAGTGGGTATACCCTCTCCCCCCCCTCGCTCGCCAGGCGCTCTCGATGCGCTGACGCGGCCGCGCTGCCCCCGCGCGTGGCGTCGAAAGGCGGCGCGCTGCACATTCGGGGCGTGAAAATGCCCGCTGCCTCGGCCTCGGCACTTTATTCATTCATGTCTGCACGGATGTATGCACGGATGTATGCATGTCTGTCTGTCTGTATGTATGCATGCATGCATGTATCTATGTGTATATGTATGCGTGAATGGATGCATGTATGTTTGTCTGTCTGTTTCTCTGTGCGTACGTAGGTACTTACGTACGCATGTGTGTATGCATGCATGTACGTTTGTACGTATGTACGTATGTTTGTGTGTCTGTTTGTCTGTCTGTCTATATATCTGTCTGTCTGGCTGTCTGTCTGTATGTGTGTTTATGCATATATAGTTGTGTATTTGTTAATGTATCAATGCATGCATGTCTGTCTGTGCGTACGTCCGTACGTACGTACGTACACATGTATGTATGAATGTATGTATGCACGTACGTACGCATGCACACATGTTTGCATGTATGCATATGTGCATGTATGCATGCACACAGGTATGCACGTCTGCATGCACGCATGTATGTATGGATGCATGCATGTATGTATGCATATGCTGCATATGTATGTATGTATGTATGTATGTATGCATGTATGTATGTATGCACGTATGTATGCATACGTGCACGCATACATGTATGTACGTATGCATGTATCAATGTATGCATGCATGTACATGTGCATGTATATAAACGTGTATGCGGGCATGTATGTATGCGCGTATATGTATGTATGTATATATGTATATATGTATGTATGTATCTATGTATGTTTGTGGTTATGTATATACTTATACATGTATATATGTAGACATATAGGTTTGTAGGCGTGCACATAGGTATGTGTGTGTATGTGTGCAGTATATATATATACATATATATATATACATATCGCTGTATACATACATAGGTATGCGTACCTGTGTGTATGTAGGCGTGCATGCATACATGTAGCATACATGTACGTATGCATGCATGCATGCATGTAGGTATGTATTGCTTAGACTTCGCGCGAATCCCCGCCAGCCCATTCAGAAGCCCTGTCCACGAGAGCTGACGGGAAATGGAAGGCATAGACGCATATAGTGAGCCAGAGCGGTCAAAGAGAGGAGGGGGAGGAACGAGTTGAGCCATGTGGAGGCTATTTTGGAGCATCGGAGGCCTTCTTGGAGCTATGGGGCTTTTTGGGGCGTCTTGGGGTCCTCTTGGGGCTCTTTTGGGACATCTTGAGGCCCTCTTAGGGCTCCTTGGGGGGTCTTGGGGTCCTCCTGAGGCTCTTTTGGGGCGTCTTGGGACTCTCTCGGGGCCCCTCTTGGGACCCTCTTGGGACCCTCTTGGGGCTCTCTTGGGGCTCTCCTGGGAGCTTCGGAGGGCCTCCCGAGGCCTGGAGGCCATCGATCAACATGGGGGGGTTCCTTACCTAGCCCCCCCCCAGAGCCCTTGACATCGCCTCTGAGGGCCCTCTTGTTAAGCTCTTGGGGCGATCTTAGGCGCTCTTGGGGCCGTCTTGGGGGCCTCTTGCGCCCCTCTTGGAGCCCTCTTGGGCCATCTTGGGGCCATTTTGGGGCCATCTAGAGGCATCAAAAGCGCATCGGAAACGAATCTGCGAGAAGGCCAACATCATCGATGTCCTTTGGTTTTTGAAGGGTTTTGGCTTCTCGGGGAGGTCCTGAGGGGTGTACAATAGCACTTGGATCCGTCTTGTGGCCCTCTTGGGGCCTCTTGTCGGCATGCTGTTAGCTATCTAGAGCCCTTAGAGGCCATCTTGGGCTCTGGGGCCCTCATAGAACCATCTTGGGCTAGAAAGGGCCCCTGACACCTCACGGCCCCCCCAGTCCAGGTCCAGGGGAGAGGGTAGGGGGAGGGGTCAAGCTACCCACCCGCCCGCAAGCCGTCTAGCTCTTTCCCACCCGCCCTCCCTACACACAAGTAACACCCGATCCTGAGCATGTTCAGCGGTCGTCTTTGGATGGACAGCTACTGGAAACCAAAGCCGACCCCAGGTGCGCGACGCTTGGGCGAGGTGCGCCACGCGTGCCAGGGGCGCCACGCGCGCCAGGCACCCCTGGGGCCCGAGCGTGCCAGGCACGCCTGGTGCGCCAGATGCGCCACGTGCTCCGAGTGCGCCAGGTGTGCCGCACACTCCAGCCGCGCCAGGTGCGCCGCGTTCGGGGCACACGCAGAGTGTGTCAGGTGCGCCTGCGCACGCGACAGCACACATCGGGAAACATGTCGGCCCCCGCCATCCTTGTCGAACACCGATGCCCATCGTTGCGTCTGGAGGGCCTGCGCACAGCAGGCCACGCGCCACCACCCCCGCCGTCCCTGTCAAAAACCACTTGACAGTGATCGCGGGATGGTCGCGCATGATCCAGATTCAGCCGCGAGGTGCATGTTGTATGGTTTTTTCCCGGAAAGGGCGTAGGCCCAGGGTTCTCTTTCATTAGGTAATTCCTCCCGGTGCCAGATTCTGTAGGGGCGGCGAATTTCCGCTCGATAAAAAACGAGGTAAAGTTCAATTCGGCGTGACAAGATGCGTTTCGCGCGTGCCCGCTCGAGGAAAGTCGACCCCACACCTCGGGTCCTCGATATACATATATATATATATATATATATATATATATATATATCTAACGGGGTCCGCGGACCCCCATTTCTTCGATCAAAAACGAGGTGAAGACGAATGCGGCGCGGAAAGCGCGTTTCGTGCGTGCCCGCTCGAGAAAAGTCGACCCCCATCTCGGATCCTCGATAAATAACGGGGTCTGGCACGTCGCCTGTCGCGTTCCTTGGGGCGTTCCGTGGCGCGTCCTCCTGGCATGTTCCCCTGTCAATTAGCGCTGGGGCAGCTACTATGTGCTGAGGCAGCTCGAGCTTACGATCCAGATCAGTTCGGTCAGGACTCGGATGTAAAGGAGGACTCGATCCACAACGCTATAGAGCACAATCGCGGCATGGCACGATAAATAGCGAGGTCGCGTAGGGCCGGCGAATTGAAAATTTTGGATGTCTCGAACGACACGCTTGTTTGTCAGAATCTGTTGAGGATGTCTCGAGCGAAACGCTTGTTTTGCAGAGTTGGGGGATGTCTCGAGCGGGGGCCTCGTGGGGGGCCAGAATTCAGAAGATGTCTCAGGCGAAATGTTTGTTTTCACGTCCCACGCGCAGGAATCCCGAGGATGTCTCGCGCGTGCCGCTTCCTGCGCGCTGGAATTTCGAGGATATCTGGACTAATTCGTTTGTTTTTCCAGGATATCCTTGGCCGCACAGGGGGGTATCTAACATGTTCTGCCCGAGCTGGAGCCACGTCGCTTCACGTGTCCAGAGCACCCAGGTGGGTATCTAACATGGTGGTCCCGAGCTGGTACCACGTTTTCCCTTGTCCAGGCCACACAGGTGGGTATCTAACATGGTGGTCCCGCGCTGGAGCCACGTCTTTTCACGTGTAGAGGCCACCCAGGTGGGTATCTAACATGTTGGTCCCGAGCTGGAACCACGTGTTTCACCTGACGAGGCCACCCAGGCGGTGTCTAAGATGGTGGTCCCGCGCTGGAACCACGTGTTTTCACGTGCCCAGGTCGCCCAGAGGGTGTACATCACATGGTGGCCCCGCGCTGAAACCGAGTGTTTTCACGTGTTCGCGCCAGCCAGGGGGTATCTAACATGGTGGTCCTGAGCTGGAACCATGTGCTTTTACGTGTCCAAGGCAGCTCGAGCTTAAGATCCAGATCAGTTCGGTCAGGGCTCGGATGCAAAGGAGGACTCGATCCACAACGCTATAGAGCACAATCGCGGCATGGCACATCGCAGTTCAGCACGGCGCAGCACAGCACAGCCTTCGGCACGGTACATCAATATTGATACACTTAGCATTGTAACCTGGCACGTTCCATGGCACGTTCCGTGGCGCGTCCTGTGGCGAGTCCCCCTGGCACGTCGCGCGGCGCGTCGTCCCCTGGCACGTCCCGACGTCCATTGGCACGTTCCGTAGCGCGTCCCCTCGGCACGTCCCGCGGTGCGTCCCCGTGGCACGTCGCCTGGCACGTCGCCTGGCGCGTCCCCTTGGCACGTCCTGCGGTGCGTCCCCATGGCACGTCCCCTGGCACGTCGCCTGGCGCGTCCCTTGGGACGTTCCGCGGCGCGTCCTCCTGGCATGTTCCCCTTGTCAATTAGCTCGGGGGCAGCTACTATGTGCTCAGGCAGCTCGAGCTTAAGATCCAGATAAGTTCGGTCAGGACTCGGATGCAACGGAGGACTCGATCTACAACACTATAGAGCACAATCGCGGCATGGCACATCGTAGTTCAGCACGGCGCAGCACAGCATAGCCTTCGGCACGGTACATCAAGATCGATACACTCACTCAGCGTTGTAATTTGGCACGTTCCTTGGCACGCTCCGTGGCGCGTCCTGTGGCGAGTCCCCCTGGCACGTCGCGCGACGCGTCCCCTGGCATCTCCCGTGGCACGTCCATTGGCACGTTCCGTAGCGCGTCCCCTCGGCACGTCCCGCGATGCGACCCCCTGGCACGTCCCCTGGCACGTCGCCTGGCGCGTCCCTCGGGACGTTCCGCGGCGCGTCCTCCTGGCATGTTCCCTTGTCAATTAGCTCTGGGGCAGCTACTATGTGCTGAGGCAGCTCGAGCTTACGATCTAGATCAGTTCGGTCAGGACTCGGATGCAAAGGAGGACTCGACCCACAATGCTATAGAGCACAATCGCGGCATGGCACATCACCATTCAACACGGCGCTGCACAACACAGCCTTCGGCACGGTACATCAATATTGATACACTCAGCATTGCAACTTGGCACGTTCCTTGGCACTCTCCGTGGCGCGTCCCGTGGCAAGGCCCCTTGGCACGTCGCGCGGCGCGTCCCCTGGCACAGCCGTGGCACGTCCATTGGCACGTTCCGTAGCACGTCCCGCGGTGCGTCCCCGTGGCACGTCCCCGCGGCATGTCGCCTGGCGCGTCCCTTGGGACGTTCCGCGGCTCGTCCTCCTGGCATGTTCCCCTATCAATTAGCTCTGGGGCAGCTACTATGTGCTTAGGCAGCTCGAGCTTACGATCCAGACCAGT